GCAATTCAGGTTATTTACATAGAGCCAGTTCACAAGAAATGTCTCCAGATCATACAGTCAAATTGATTCAAAGTTTTCTATCTAAGGAAAACCAGTTGATTGCATCAACTCATTGACTCGAAGGCAATCCCTCACACTAAGCATCCTTATAGCGACAGTGGAGAGGAAAAACTCCCTTTTAACAGGAAGAAACCTCCAGCAGAACCAGGCTGTGTGTGAGCGGCCATCTGCCGAGGCCGACTGGGGTTCAAGGAGAAAGAAGCAGGGTTACAAAAGGCAACTGTAAAAGGCGGCCTCATCCAGGAAACACACAGCCAGGCAGACGAGCTCTGAGACAGCTCCCATGTCAGAGGATAAATGAGAGATCATCCAGCCAGTCACAGTCAAAGAAACAGGACTACACTGAAAACCAGGCCAATCTTGAACATCTTCAAACTAAGGTGTTTATGGCAGCAACACAGGATATATTTCTCTCCACAGATGTGTCACAGCCAAACAGGAAGAGAAGAGGCAAAGCTACTATGAGAAAAAGCAGAGAGAGCATAACGTTAGAGATTAAACTAACAGATTCTGCAGAGTGGAAGAATAGAGAAAGAATGAAGCAAAATGATGAAATAGGGGTCCCTATGTCCTCCAGAAGTCTAAGCCTATAGCAGCATAACTATAGAGATACTCATGACAAACTGAGCTATTCTAACTATAAGCTTTATGAAAAAGGAAAGTTTTCAGCCTACTCTTCAAAGTTGACAGGATGTAAAGTACACAGGACACAAGTATTGATTTTTAAAATTCTAAAAACTAAAAGACCAGTCCAAGTTGTCATGAATTATAAATCCTGTGTCTGTGGTCGATAAATATAGTTGGACCAAAGTTCTGTATTTATTCTTTGCAATAAATATAATTATAAATTTTTGTCAATACTTTATTACAAAGTAAATTAATAATTGTATGTAATGGTAACATTTTTATTTTTATTTTTTCAAATTTAAAAGTTATAGCAAAGCATAAAATATTTTTATGATCTGTTATGAATTATAGTTTTAAATTATAGTTTTACTTTGTATGAATCCATTTTGTTTCTTTTCTTATAAATTAAAATTTATACTTTCGACCATCTCATAAATTCTGTTTTGAGATAAAGTAATTCCAAATCACAGTACTTTTTTTAAAGCTGATCCAAAGTATTTTTTTTTCAAGTGTATACATAATTTTAGGATTGGATTAAAATTAGGCGTGGAATTTTTAGCAAGTTTAGCATAAGATAGTCATTTTAAATAATATATTTAAATTGGAAAATAGGTTTGGGATACTTCCAATACAACAACCAAAGCAGGATAGTGAAGGAAATGCATACTAATTAAAGAATAACAAAAAAATAAGGTACACATTATCACAGATTTTCACTTGGAAAATGCCTAACATGGTTCAAACTTTTAAAAATGTTGTAGACAGTGACAGTATGGCTAATTTAGGCAAAGACGGTCTTTGTAATCTGGGTCTCCGGATTTTGTTGAATTAGTTTTTAATCTGATTCCTGCAAGAGATCTAAGGCCCTATATCTTACAGAGCAAGCATTCAATAATGTTTGCATGTACACAAAAAAATCAAAGCAGCAATAAACATATGAAAGTGAAAGTGTAGCATTTGGAATGCATTACGTTATCCCCACAGAGTGTTATCTGCTTGTAGGTGTTGTTGCTGTAGGTGGAGCTATTTTGGTACAGTTACTGTAATCATAGCAACTCTGAAATTATGCAAAACAGATAATGGGTCAAATAAGGCTTCTCATCCAACATGTGTTATTATATTTATTATTCCTCTCAGAGCTTGGAAATTTTGGGTGATAATGGTTTGATTAATAGAACAAATATCATGTAATATTTTTTTTCCTGTTTTTCTTTATGTTGTTTTCTGAAACTATTGATCACTCATTAGACGGTATGCTGAATTGACCCAGCTTTTAAAAGATTAATGCGTCCATCCATCCCCTCAGACACGGTACACCCTGGACAGGCCGCCAGTCTGTTGCACCGAGAGACACAATCATGCAAACACACAAACACACACACACCTAAGGGCAATTTAGAGAAGCAATTTAACAGGGATGTTTTTGGACTTTTAAAAGAAGCTGGAGTACCCAGAGAGAACCCATGCATGCACGGGGAGAACATGCAGAAAGACCACATGCCGGGAATTGAACCCGGAATCTTGTTGCTACATGGCAACAGTGGGACAAAACTGTGTCACAGTGCAACCCAAGGTTGATGAGATGCAAATCCCAGCAAATCTTGTTTTACTACAAATTTAGATAAAATGAATATGAACAAAAAATAGTGAGAACATATTTCTTTGGGTTTAGATGTGTACAGAGGCCTGGAAAGCCTGCTTTACCAGCTTCATCTCACTACCCTGCAGCATTCCTGAGTATATGATCACTGGCTTGTATGTAAATAACCGTCCAATGCAAACATGATATTTGTTTAAAGGTAATGAAAAATAATTTGCATAAAAGCAACAACCTTACTTAACACAAAAATATTTCTTCTATCTGTTTAAAGAGTAGAGGATGAAAAGCTGCAAAAACCTAATAAATGTAAGTATCATTTTTAAGTTTATTCATCTCAGTAATTCATAAAAAATAACAATTTTACTATGTAAAGAGGGATGTCATTTTCAGTTCATTTTTATGTTCACGATTTTAGGTCAAACATAAGGAAAATTCTAAAATTCTGAGAGAGATTTGACAAAGTTTCTGACAGACGATTAATAAAATGCTGCAATGTCACCCTGTTGGAAAATTAAATAGATGTTCTGTTGATTGAGAGTACAAACAGTTCTATAAAATCAACTGGTGTAATAATATTACAAACAGCATCCACCCACAAATAAGGGATTCTTATATGTCTTTAAGCAGTTTATTGTTTAGTTTCATATCTGTTGAGGGTCTCAAGACTCCATACTGGTAGATCAAGGACCCTAAGCGGGGTCATGACCCCAACTTTGAGAGTCAACGCTGTCCAATATCTGAGTTCAGTACAGGTTCAAGTGAAAATGAATCACAGGACCGATCCAGCTTAACGTGAAGGTGATCATCCAGCGGAAACAACTTTTTAATGGTCTCTGATTGTTGGTTCTGGTATATTGCATCTATTTGGTAACTCTCTATAGACTCACTAATGTTTTTTTATTCTCCAAATCAAACAGAGGGCATTTTCCAACAAACAGATTATATTTATTATGTTTCTAAATGGTCTATAATTTCCTCATTGATGGTTTCACTAACCTTGAACTGATAAACACAGTGGACTAAAACCAGCTGACTGACAGGTTCTTATAATCATTACTTGATGTCTGATAACCTATAACTGTTTCTGTCAATCATAACTATGAAGGCAATGCTTTTATAATGCAAAATGAAGGAGCAAAGGTGGTGCAACTCCTGCAGGAGGAGGAGGGAAATTTCACTTTTGGTACAAACTGCAACCAAAGATTTGCCATTTTCTTACGTCTCTTGGATTGATTGACAGGTGGTGTCACATCAATCCCTCTTGTGCTCCTTTTTTCAGCAACATTTTCTCCTTCCCCTAAGCTTTCCGATAAAAGGAATTTGTGTTTTTTTTAATCCTTGTGAAGGGGAAAACTGGCTGTCATCAAGACAACTTTAAGTCATCAGTCTTTCTTGTGAAATAAGATAAGATTTATTATAACAATTATAATAAAAATGATAAAACTCAAAATAAAATATTTCTTAGAAACCCAGTTTCTAAGAAACTGTGGGGAGTCTTGGCCAAGTGGTTAGAGAAGGGCGCTTGTGCTCTGAGAAGGTTGGAAGTACCCAGTTCAATCCCCACAGCCTCAGGGGCGGAGCTAGATGGGGGGCCAGGGGTGGCCATGACCACCCTTAGCCAATCATTGACCACCCCTACAATTTATTTCACTCTAATGCAGATGGTGGCAACAGTAATATTCTCAAGTGGAATATTCAAAACATTTAAATTTTTCATATATTAACAATTACTAGACAACAAAAACACTGTGGTGAATCATGCTCATCAATATACTAACATTAAAGATGATAAGTACAGAATTCAAGCAGAAACAGATTTTGTGTTTTATGGGGTAAAGAGAAATTGATGTGTCTCTGCAAGTCATCTAGAAGTCTTCAGTGAAATGACAGATAAATAATTTTAATAAAACATATTAAATAATCAATTTATGTCGATATTAGTACTTATAAATATCAATTTTATGCAGAATGATTACTGATAAAAGTAGGTAAGTAATGACAATAGAAAAGATGTCTGCTCCAGAACTCAAACCTGAGAGAATATTATCCACTATACCTTTTATCTAGAAAGCACAGATGTTTGAACATATTTGTTTATTTGTTAGCAAAGGCTGTAGGGATGTTTACTTTGTCTTCATTTAGAAAATATGGATGTTTTGCTCATTAATTTTACTGTTGGAACAGTATTGATTGACCCTGACGTTCTGGTGCCTATCCACTTTCGGCCAGGCCTCTGCACAGCCTCCACTCTGGGTTCATGGGCAAGACCCTTTACCCCACACTGCTCCCTGGGCACCGCACAATGGCAGCCCACTGCTCCCCAAAGGGACGAGTTAAATGCAGAGGTAGATTTCTCCAATGTGAGATCAATAATGTTCAATTTGGTTTCCAGTCATTGGAAAATACAATGAATAAAAATGATAAAACTATAGTATTTTAAAATTCATTTTCAATATTCTATTATTTTAATGATTTTCAGAGGTAGTGACCCAGTGCCTTCCCCACCTCTGCTTGTCTTCACCTGTTCCCCTCCTAATTTGAAGTCATGCTGACTGGAACTAGATGTGACCGGAAGCCACCAGTTCCCCCTTCACTAACCCTGCAGCCACAGCTTCCAAAATAAAGCGCTTCCACAGCAGGAAGCGCTTTATTTTGACACGCCACGGCTGCTGCGTGTTGAAGAGCCCCACTGCCTCTGCCTTGGGTCCTGCGTGGATTTACATAGCATGATTTCCGTGGGACTGGGAAGCGAAAGCGGAGGGTGGTGCGCCGTTCAGGAACTGAGGGGAACTAACTAACCTTACCGGTTAACAACCTGTAGCCTCCGCCGCTGCCTCCGCTGGGATCCCGGTAACTTCTCTCCGCCTCCCAGCTTCCCTTTTTTTGGATTATTGTTTTTTTTATTATTATTATAAGTCTCTGTCGGAGAGGACGGGAAGCGGCTCGAGTTGAACCCGGTTTGAAGGGCTGTGGCCATGGCCGGGGGAGGAGGCGGAGGGGTTTCTCCGCTGGGGCCCGCTCCGCCGATGTGGTACCACCGGGACCTGAGCCGAGCTGCGGCCGAGGAGCTGCTCGCCCGAGCGGGGAGAGACGGCAGCTTTCTGGTGCGGGACAGCGAGAGTGTCAACGGAGCTTACGCTTTGTGTGTGCTGTGAGTAACTTTTTTTTTGCTTTGTTTACCTTTGTTTTTAACCTAAACTGTGTTTTGAACCCACAACCAGCTCACACACACGTCCTCAGAGAATCAGTAGTTTTTAAGGACGCTCCAGTCTGTTATTACCCTGCAAAACTCTGCTGTAGTAGTTATAAATAAACCCACCCTGCTGCAGAAAATGTGATGAAACTGTAGGTGAAGTCTGTGTTTACTTTCTCCTTGAAGGAAAATGAGTGGGAGAGAGGAAGAGCAGTGAGACTCCAGCATGGCCCCTGTTGGGATGTGGTTCCCTGCAGAGCCGTTTTTCTCCTTTCAGGATCCTTTGCTGCAGGCTCTGGAGATTGCTGTAGATAGGAGGGGAGGGGAATAGTTTCAAAAATTACTAATTTACCCTCTGGGATTATTTACATTCTTATGGGCATTGTGTTTTGCACGGAAGAGGATTAGGGCCACTGAAAAAAAAAAAAAAAAAGTTAACTAATTTTTAAATTTTATTTCAGTATATGAGGAAAAAGGTCAGAATTCTGACTTTAATCTCAGAATTCTGACTTTTTTCTCACAATTCTAAATTTAATCTCAGAATTCTGACTTTTCTTTTCTCAGAATTCTGACTTTAATCTCAGAATTCTGACATTTTTTCTCAGAATTCTGACTTTTTTTTCTCAGAAATATGACTTTTTTCTCAGAATTTTGACTTTAATCTCAGAGTTGTGGATCTTAATGTAGATGGGCACCATGAAGGAAGATATGTGGGAGCACTCAGCTTCACTGACAAAGATGTGAGTTGTTGGGGAGGGCCAGTAACATATTGGTGGAAAATAATGGATTTAGGTGACTTTTTACATGGCTGAGTGGTCCCCGGTGATGTTATTGCATTAATGGAAGTTTAGTCTAGTTTAGTCTTCAAAACAGACATGGCTACGGCTTTATGCTAACATGTTTGTTAGCTGTCAGAATTCTGAGAAACAAGTCAGAACTCTGAAATTAAAGTCCAAATTCTCAGAAAAAAGTCCAAAGTCTGAGCTTAAAGTCAAAATTCTGACTTTTTTCTTACAATATGCTGAAATAAAATTTAAAAATCAGTTTTGTTTTGTTTTTTCAGTGGCCCTAATCCTCTTCAGTAGGTTTGGGATTGAGTTTTAGTGAATCTGCTACTTTTCATCCACCAAGTTGTTTCCAGACAAATCTGGTAGAAATTCAGCAATCAGTTGAGTAGAGATTGAGATCTGAACATTTTAGAACAATTTTAAATAAAAAGAAGGGGTATTTAAAATTAGCCTGACGTAGTCCTACTCAATTCTAGTCAGAATATGAGTCTGATACTGCTCCATAGAGCTGTGATTATGGGGCGTGTTTTGAACGAACCAGGAAAAAAAATGCCTCTCAATTGGATAGACCTACAACCAATAAGAGCAACGGAGTGCGTGACGTATGTTAAGCCACGCATAGTTGTTGTCAACAAAAATCAAAGCGTGCAGTTGCACGCCTAGAATAAGAAGATGAGCCTTGATTGCGTTTCTCTATTCCTCTTTTAAAATTTATTTGCTGTCGATATCTTCTAGAACAGACCTAATAGCAGAATCTACTCACCTCAACTCACCAGCGGCAGCCATTGTTGTTGTCACCCAAGCATGCTTTGGTCACATGGTTGATTACGTTACTGTTGATCAACTGTCCATCATCGTATAATTTGATTGACAATTTATACAATTTGACAATTGTATAAATTGTCAAATTTGATTGGATCGCCAGAGAGTGGGCGATCATACTCGCGCTACTACTGAGCAATGCCAGACCGAACTTCCCGACCTCAAACCTTGTGGGCAGGACTAAGTTCGGAATGGCACCCAGGCTAATTTAAAATAGGGATATTGGTCCAATATTAGCCATAAAACAAATTTGACCATTTTACCATCCAGCATCTAAAATCTCCTATATTTTTATGCTGATAGACATTCTCTGCTTCTGAAAAAGTTTCTGTAACTCATTTGTTTTCATACCTATTGTTGACATTTGTTCCCTGTTAGTGTGATACTACTTTATCAAGCCTTTCTAACATTCTAGAGTATAACATAAGGAATAAAAGCTGGTATGATTCATACTATTATTGTGTTAGCTCAATATTGCTATCAGCCAATTCTCAAAAATAAATATCGGTATCATATTGGAAATGAAAAAGTTGTATCGGGACATCGCTAATTTGAAAAAGCCTTAAGGGAAAGCATGCTTATATAATAATAGTTATAGTTGATTATTGAATGAAACAAGAAGCTCGTTAGAACAAATACAAAGAAAGCTGAGGGTCATCAGTGAATGATCCGCTTGAGCCTTATGTAGATGTGGTCCCTTCGGCTAAAAGTGAATTTTGGTTTGTGGCATCAGAGCAGAATCACTTTGAGCTCCTGTTTGTTCCAGTTGCATTTTCTGTCAGAAATCATCTGATCTAAGGGAACCATGCTCTCTGCAGCTCTGCTTAGAGCTGATAGTTGATGTATGTTAGTTTTTAACTAGTCTGTAAGTTCCTGTTGTAATCGAGTAATTGTTATCATTTGAAAAATCACAAAATACAGCTTAAAGTTGTATTCACAGAATTCTTTGTAAGTATTATGAAATGTATTACCGATCTATTTAAATACTTCTGTGTACAGAAAAAGAAAGCGGCCCATAGCAGAGCCTTAAGGTTTCCTGCATCTGATCAGTGGAATCTGATTTGAGTTTTTTTTTAAGATGGTGATGCTTCTGTTCAAAAGAAAAAATTAGTAAAAACACATATTAAGTCTTTCTAAGAGTTCGAAGCCAAAGCGTTACATATAGGAGTGTGTTCTATAGAGATATTAGACTGGTAGGTTAGGCTGAAACATTTAATCGGATTATTAAAATATTTGTCAGCAAATTTTTAACCAGATTGTAGAGAATCTAAAACATAACATTAATTGAAATAATTTTTCACTTAGAGTAGTATTTAAGCCAAAACAGAGCAAAGAATAAATTTAAGGTGAAAAATGGGATTGTCTGTAAATATGCTCAATCCAAAACTCCTCAAGTAGTTTAGCTTGACCAGACACTAATTCTTTAAAAAAAAAAAAAGACTTCTAATAAGCCAGTTTTGCAACACAGTTTTTTATCTTTTGATCAAAAATGTTGTTAGGAAATAAACTAATAAAAAAGGCCTTAATAAGTAAATTTAATGTTGTGAACACTGAATTTCAATTTTTATTTGTCTAGAATGTGAAATATCTTTTTTTTCTTCCAAATTTGTTTCTTTACTAAGGAGAGGTAAATCATTTAAATGATCTATTTATAGATTTCTTTAAAAATAAAATAAAATGTAGACTGATCTATTACTAGAATCTTCAATAGCTGCATGCCATCTGGGTGATGGTGATACTGTTGTGATACTGCGTACTGTGATGCAAAATATTCTGTCCATTGTAGTTCTACGCCCTTGAGCAGTCAGCAGTCTCTTTCCTATTTCTCTTCATTAATTTGCTTTTATTATGAAGTAGCACAAACCCTTTTAACTACCTATTAAAATAAAACTCTGAGTTTTTCTAGTTTGAGATATGATATAATTTTGTATATTTGCAAAGTGGAATGTAAAAAGAGAAAACATTGCACATAAGGCTCAATCTCTCTGTTCAGTTGCACTTAGAGGCCTGTTTGCTCAGGGAAGTGATGAAATACTCCTTTTGTTACAGAAATAGCATTTTACCAACATGCTCCAGTTTCCAGTCAGCAACTTAAACCCAGTTTTAAAATGATTTCCTGATGAGCAGATAAATCTTTTTGCTGGTCATTTTGTTTACTTCCGAAATCAACCATATCTCGGTAAATAAAGTGCAGCAGCAGGATGGTTAACTTGTAGAGCTTAAAAGGATGCTCTGCACAACTCAAAGTGAAAAGAATGCACAGATGCAGGAAACACAGAGCCATGTGACTCAGTGTTCTGACTTTGGCTTGACCTACATCCCCTATCGGATAGTTTAACCCATGCTCTGTCGAGTGTCGCGTGTTTATACATCAGCAGACCAACATTTTGTGCCATACTTTAATGGATCTATGCAAACACATTAGCAGGGCTGTTATTTTATTGGCTGTTGGAGCAGAAACTGTTCACCGCAAGAAAAGATCTAGCGAGTTACAAATTATTATGTATATAATATGAAAAAGTTGTCATTAATTGCACTTTTTTTATTATGTGGGATTTTGAGGATGTGTTCCTGTAAATATGCAACAGCTGAATGTTATTATAAAAAGGTCTTGCCTGCCTTTTATCTATAATTACGGCTCGTAAATCACTGGAAACATGATGATTTCCTGGACGTTTGTGGATCATCACCTTGTCAACAAAAGCATTCCTAACATTAATGCTTTATTAGTTCCTGGATGTGTTCCTTCCTCTTCCTTCCTGTCACTGGTCGCTTTTTTAATATAACAGACCATTATTTACATTCTCTTTAGACTCTAATAATAATAATGAACCTGAAAGACAGTCTTAAGTACTTTTTCAAGAGCAAAACACACCCTTCCTTTACTGTTAGCCTTAACCACTTCTTTTTGAATAAACCTTTTAACTAATATACCACAAAAATAATCACCTTTGAATTTTCATTTGCTTAAAAATTTCCAAGAAGAAACATTGCAATGCTCCCAAATAATTGTTGATGCAATTATGATTAAGTTTTTATAGTTACATGTAATAAGGTATTTATAAAACGATATTTTATAAAACATAATTGATAAAAGATTTAATTTAGTCCTTTATCATTTAAAGATTTTAACTCTGTAATTAATGTGTTAATACCGTTATCTATAGTTCAAAGCTCCTTGGGAACCGAGTCTCACATGGAATAACAAATAATGTTCATTTTTTAATATATAGGACAAACATGCAATTGAAAAGTTAAAGAAATTTCTTTAAATTCCATAATTTCCTGTAATAATTGAATATGTCTTATAAATATACTCATGATGATAAGTTTGTGTCGGTAAGCAGG